ACTTGCCTACAGTCACGCAGCTAATCAGTTCATAGGATTTTAGGGTGATGAACTAGATTCAGTCCTTCCAATCTTGAACATGACAAAATTGAGGCCCAGAGAGGTTTGCTCAAGGTCACACAGATAATACTGAGACGCAAACCCAGATCTTCTAATTCCAAATCTAGTCTGAGCCTGAGCCCAAACCCAAACTGTCCAAGTCCACTTTCAATCAACAACAGTTTTCACCCCTGCATCTCTGATAATGATCTTTGGCTGTAGTTGATGGGTAGGGCTTTTTTGATTCATGCTGGTACATACTGGCGAATTGTCAGCCCACAGGCATAGTGTACTGGTAACAACAGTCCTACATGATAGTGAGGTGCCTTTCAGATCAAAGGATTTGCTGTTAGCAGGATGATTTTGTCAAAAGCACTATTTCTGCTTAGACCTCATGGTGATAAAGTTCAACGGTGTGGTGACTTAGAAAAGAACCTGTCCCTAGAATCCAGAAAATGGTCAGAACCGAGAAAGGACATCCCCAACTCTTAATCTTTGATGTAAAACATCTAGAAAGCCAAGGAGAACAGTGTACGGAAGGAGATTGAAATCCATGGAGCAGAGTGAAAACTTGGCTCAGATATTCTCTCCCTCAGGAAAGGGGCCCAAGTCTGCATTTTAAATATGCGAGAAAAACAATCCACAAGAATCAAAACAGAGTGGGGGTACTTCAGTCTTAAGCAGGGCTTGTTACAGTTTTATTAAAGGAAGAAAGATCAAGAAAGGGTCCTTTCTTCTGGAAGTGCTATACCTTTTGCCTTCTTTCCTTGGGGCTGTTTGATGATGAATGTGGCATTAGAGATACTTTTACTAAATAAAGGTCAAACTTCAGGATACCTATTTTAAAGTTCAACAGAAGGGGGAAAATGCAACTTGCCCCAACAAGATGTCAGTAACTTCATGTGGAAAAGAGCAACTAAAGACAGGAAAAAAAAAATACTCGCAAAGGCAGTACAGGGTATCCTCATCCTCTTCTGAGATTAGTACCTCGTTATTTATATGATGTCTCTCCCATTAAAATCTGAGCTCCATCAGAGCAGGGACTGGCTCCCCTCTATTTGTATCCTCAGTGCTTGGCACATAATAAGCATTTCAAAAATGCCTATTTACTAAGAAAATTATTCAAAGCTGTCCTATTTTTTTGTGTTTCCTAAATGTCCTTTTGTTCTTTTCTGTTCATCTTTTTTAAATGATGATGACACTCTTTTCTTTCTTTTCTTCTTTGTTTTGGCATTTTTTTTAATAAATCCTGCCCTGCTCACTCCCACTTGTCATGATTCCACCTATTATGATCTGCTATAGTTCATGTGATTCTTCCCAGGTTTCTTTGAATCTAACCCTTTCATCATTTCTTATGGCACACTAATATTCCATTATGTTTACATACTGTAATTTAGGGGCAGCTGGGTGGTCTAGTAGATAGAGCACTGGGGCTGGAATCAGGAAGACCTGAGTTCAAATCCAGCCTCAGACATTTCCTAGCTATGTGACACACACACACACACCCAGCATGTCACTTAACCTCTAAATGCCTCAATTTCTTCAACTGTAAAATGAGGATAAGACCACCTACCTCACAGAGTTGCCATGAGGCTCAAATGAGATGATATTTATAAAGTCCTCAGTATAGTGCCTGGCATATAGTAGGTGCTTATTTCCCTCTAATAATTTATTCATTCATTCCCTAATTAATGAATTACGTAATTTTAGTTTCCAGGTCTTGGCTACAGTATTTATGCATATGGGTCCTTTTCCCCTTTGTTTGCTCTCTTTGGGATATATGTATAGTAGTCGTATCACTGAGTCAAAGGTTATGCACAACTGAGTGACTTTTTTGGGTATAATTCCAAAGTGCTTTCTCGAATGACTAGACCAATTCACAACTCTGCCAAACAGTTCATTGGCATGCTTGTTGTCCCACATCCTCTCCACCAAATGTTATTTCCTTTTTGGGTCATCCAATCAAATTGGTATGATATAGACCCTCAAAGTTGTTTTAATTTACATTTCTCTTATTATTAATGATTTGGGGCATTTTTTCATATGGTTGTGGCTTAGCTTAGAATTCTTCATTGAGAACTACTAGGTTCATGTTCTTATATATTTAAATCAGTTCCCTATATATCTTGGATATCAGACTTTATCAGAGAAGCTTGCTGTGAGGTTTCTACTCCCCCCACCCCCACCCCAAAATTTCCTTTTAATTTTAACTGAAATTATTTTGCCTGTGCAAAATGGTCTTATGTGATTAAAATGGTTTGTTTTATTTCCTGGGGTCCCCTTTGCCCTGTGTTTGCTAAAGAACTTGTTCTCTATCAATAGTTGTAAGAAGTATCTATTACTTTCTGGCTCCTCTAATCTGTTTAAAATGTGATTTTTTTTAAAAATCTAGGTCTTATGTCCCATTGTAGCTTATTGTGGTGTGTGATGTGAAATGTTAATCTAAATCTAATTTTAACCAGACTTTTCCAGTTTTCCCAATAATTTTTTTTCAAATAGTTTTCCCTTTTTATCCAAGTAGTTGGGGTCTTTGGGTTTAATACTATACTGCTATAGTGTTATGTGAATTATTCAGGACAAGTGATAATTTTGGTATGCTTTATTTGGTGAAAGCACTGGCCATGCATGTGTGATTCAACTGCATGAGGCTGGCTCAAAACATCTATTATCTTGGCCAAACAAAACCATATTGGGCTCATTTCCCTACCTTTCATTCTCTGGCATATGAATTCTGGATTTTATGTACCATAACTAACTGATTCTTATTAATATTTTGTAAATTCCCACATAGAGCATTTAAGGTACCACTATGACCCAAATGACTTAACCCTTTGAAGCCTAGAACTACTATCCTGGAACCTTCATTGTCCAGATTGGTGATTTTCTCAGTTTCCAACTACATTTAGGTTCAGCTCCAGTTAAGAGTGAAGTTTCACTTCACTCCCTGGCCATCTTCTCACCAGTTGCCCTAAGGTCTGGGCCAGATATCATGTCCCAGAGAACTTTCACCAATAAAATTCCTTCTCTAGGACCCCACAGTCCTGACTGGTAGTTCAATGATGACCCGACTCCTTTAAAAAAAACAGCAAAAAACAAACCTTCAAACTCAATGAATAAACATACATTATGTAAAACAATATAATTATTTCCTAAAAATATTGCTTATAAGAAACATGATTCAATTCTCTTGTGAATTTTAACAAAAGAAAATTTTGATAGATGTGTACTCTGGTCTTTCTTACTCCAAGTCTTCCACTAATAGAAACACATAAACAGTATAAATTATCTAACTACCATCATCTCTCTTCTGACATTAAACACACACACAATACAATTCAACCTTTGTAGAAATGAGCACATTCCCTCTTCAAAATGTCAGACAGATGTAGGGAGACTTGGGAGCAACTAGACTGACATGTGTTGTTGGCAGGGGAGGAGGCCAAAGGTCTATAGCCTCTCAGATCTTTCCAGTTGGCAGGGGTGGTTACAATTTGCATTTGAACAGAGGGGGTGAATTTCAAAATGTTTCTTTAACCCAGGGGGACTCAGTCTCTTTTCTCTTTTAGGCCTTAGAAAAATTTACGTCAGAGAATATGAGAAGACCTAAGAACTAAATTGGTTTCTGCCCATGAGTTAGGTGACAGTTGAACTGAAGGACATAAGACCAAGGCTAAGGCATTTCAGAGAAGTGTTTAGCAGTTACTTGAAGAGTTCAGAAGAAAAGAAGCAGTTAACAGAAGAGTTCTAAGCAGAGTTCAAAGGGTATAGCTGACCCTTAGTCTCTGCCTTTGCCACTGTACCTTCTGGTACAACATGGCACTGATGAATTTCTTAACCATTGGCTTGAGAGAGCTGACTGTGAAGGCTGTAGGGAGTTTCATAGTAATTGGGTGAGAATGCTGGCTGAAGGCAGAAGGAGCCTTTAGAAAAAGCCTAATCTGATCACAGTATCTCTGGAAGACTGACTTTCAGTTAGCACTGAAGCTATCCCTATAGTTGAGGCACACAGAGCCTATGCCCCGCCCCAACCCCACTGGACGGTGGAAGCAATTGGATAGCTGGTTGACAGATCAGTTGGAACAAAGATATTTCATACCTGTTGGGGTAACAGTGGAAGAAGCCCAACCAGGAGTGGTTAAGATCGAGCACTTGGTAGAAGAATAGCTGAGACTCAGTGTCTGGCAGGGGACAGCTGAGATACGACGGAGAGCGATACTTGGCATAGTGGCAACATGGTGGCATCAATCAGAGAGAGCAGCAGCTAATGAAAACTTTTAACTGCAGCATCAGAGACGTGAGTTGTCCCTCTATTTACGTGTCCTAGTCATATATGCTTCCTGCGAAAACATTCCTTCATATTGGTGCCTTGGCCACCTACGTCCACATGTGCGGTAGTCACATAATTCCTATGAGGGTCCATTTTCTCCATTGTATATGTAGTCATAGCTCAAGGTTTGTGAGCAGATGTTGTCTACATTAAATAATTTTCATGGCAATTTGATTAAAATACCTTTCTTTAAACCATTTCCCATGACTGACTGGTAAAAGTAAAACACATCAGTGAAGGTTTATGAGCTATGGTTTGGAGAGGACCATGAACCCCAAAATATCTGAACCTGGAGCAGCTAACTAGGACTCCAGAGGGAGAAGGGGGCCCTGTTAACTATACTATAGGGGCTCCTCTCAGATCTCCAATTGGGATGCCCTGGAATCCATTGAAGAAATAATCATCTGGGATCTCCATTTTGAATTCCCTATGTACTGTGGGTATCCATTGGGGAATTTTTTTTCATTCTATGATTAGTCACCAAGGTTTTCCAATATTTCTTTTTCTTTTCTTTTTAAACAGGTCAAACTTTTCAATTAACTACTGAGTTGTTATACAGTAAGTTGAGATGCCACTGACAAATAGTTTAGTCCTATAGTGACTGAGTTGTGTCTTAAAAAGAAGGGAAAAAAATATGGATGACAAAACTTTAGAACAGTGGTGTACAGCTATGCACTTGGATTTACAAAGAGGATTACTTGTTAGAGGAGTACCTCGTGACCTAACAGACAGGGACATTGAACATGTCTTACATAATGCAATAGGTATTTTGGGAAAATGTCAAGTACTGACCAAACGATATGAAGAGACAAATGTCACTTTGTCTGTTTTCTGTAAGTTGTCTGAACCCATAGACTATTCTAAAATCCCTAGTGCAATTAGAGTAGGAGAGAATACCTGGAAACTGGTCATTAGACCCCCCTCTGAGGAAGAAGAGATAGAAAGGAAGCTCAAGACTGTCCTACAAAGGGAAGGACTGTCTGAAGATGATGTGAGACATGTAGGAGGGGAGTCCAGACCTGGAGAGAGTGATCAAGATGAACCCAAGGTCGAGCAAGAATCTCAATCCGACAAATTAGGAAGCTTCTCTGGGGAAAACCCATGTCCTCCTGAAGAGGAACCATATGACTCTTGGATAAAACATGCCACTGAAATATTAAAGCAGTGGAAAGTAAATGATATGGAAAAACAGAAAAGACTAATGGAAAGTCTCAAGGGACGAGCATTTGATCTTATACGTATTTTGAAATTACAAACCCCTGATGCTACTGTGTTAGAATGTCTGCAAAAGCTAGATAAAGAGTACGGTAGTGCGGAAACTCCACAGCAAACTTATGTCCAGTTTCTTACCACCTTTCAGCACGAGGGAGAAAAACCCTCTGAGTTTGTCGTGAGGGTGGACAAACTGCTGCAGAATTTAGTTGTCAAAGGAGCGGTGAGGCCCAATGAAGTGGATGCTGTTAGACTGGCCCAAGTAAGTTCTGGACTGTTAGATGATAAAGACCTACAAGTACAAATAATTAAATTGGAAAAAGAGAAACAGCAGATTGGATATGAAGAGCTAATGGCTATAGTGAAATTGTATGAGAACACACTCGATTGTGGAAACAGAACTCCGCAACACAGAAGAATGCTTTCCAAAACATCTTCTCAGATGTTGCCTACAGAAACGAGAATGGAACCAAACCACAGTCACCCAGGCACGAAGGCCGAAACTCTTAAGATGCCTGTTGAGAAATGGAATACTGGTCGGTGCCACTTCTCCCAGAAAAAAGACAAAAGATTGTGGGGGCAGAGATCAAACAGGCCTGAAGCTAGAACATGGCCAGTAGAGCAAAGACAGAGGGGCCCCGGGATATTCTGCAGCAACTGTGGCCTAGATGGACATACAAATACAGGATGCACCCAAAGAGCAAATACAGAATTGGTTAAACAGAAGCTGATGTCCACCAGCCTGCCTTCAGTCCATAAAGATGATGGATCTGGTGATAGAAGTGAGCCTAGATCCCGAAGACCTTAAGACAGAACTCATTGCTTGTCGTGCCTGGGAATTTTCCACAAAAGGCTGTGCTATCAGGAGAGGTGAATTTTGTTGTAATCTGCCTTGCCTTGGTGGTTCCAGCACGACAAGCAACAGGAACAACTATATGAAGAAGAATTTGGAGGGAGTCTCAAGGACTCAAATTTTGTCCCCAAGAGGGTCACCTTACTGTTGAATGAAAGAAGTTGTAGCTGTGCAATGTACCATTAGTATAGCTGTATAATACACTGGATCCTATATAAGAAGTAGTGGGTGCTGCCCATGACATTCACCCAGTGAACAAGTTTAGTTAGCTATGATGTCCCAGAGAAAATGGAAGAAGGTGGGTATTTATGTCATCAGATGATAACATAAATACATCAGATACCCCCTCTCTGAGTGTCTATAACATATGTTATATATGCAAACATAATCTAGATATTATGTTCCATATTGTTAATATGTTTTGTTATATTGTTATGCTTCATTGATATATAATGTACATGTTTTATTATATTGCTAATTGCAGTGTTACAGTTATAATATTGTGTTATATATGCTAAGTGTTATGTATTACAAGGAATTTATATTTTGTTTTAAATGTATGCTCTGGTATGTATTCGGTTTAGAAGTGCTTATTATTTACACCCTTATGGGACTATATAGAACAGTTATAATAATTGCATATAAATATCTTATTTATGATGTTTATTATGCTATAAATGATATGTGCCAAAAATGTTATTCATATGCCCATGTATTTTTTACAAGTATTTTACTGGAGTAGGGGGGAATGGAGAGTAGGCTAAAGAAACTACACCTTTCCTTTCACTGGGCTTCTCAAAAGAGAGGCTTTTTACTCACAGTATCCCCCAGTGGATGTGATGAGTGAAGGAGCTGGTTAACAACTCAGCTGGAATAGAGATACAAACAACAGATACACCTGGTAGAAATCAACCAAGACAGAGCATCATGTGGGGACCAGTGAAATCTGACATTCGGCAGAAAGCAAGACCATTATGTCGTCAGTAAAAGACAGCTGCAGAAGTATCAGTTGTTCCTCCCTATATGTGACCTGCACGGGCACCCTCCCCTCATGTGTTGATAAGCTACACATACTTCCTGTGAAGGTCTCCTTCTCATCAATGAGTATATAATGTTCATAGGAGAGCGAGCTCAAAGTTTATGAGGAAAATGTTCTGTTCTTTATTTACATTGTTACTTAATTAAAAGCCTTTGTTACTTACTTTGTGTTCTATAGCTCATTGATAAAGGTAAAACATATCAATAGGGGCTTATTAGCTGTAGTTTGGAGAGAATTCTGACCCACAAAATACCTGGGACCTAGAACTTGGGGCTCAGAGTGAGGGCAAGTCTGTGGACTACACAGGAATTTCCACTACAAACTATCTGGGGGGTAAAAAAGAAATGGTTAGTTCTCCAGCTCTAACTTCTGAATATATACAGTGATTAGGAGCTCTTTACTTCACAGGGGAAGCTTATTCTATTGTTGGGGAGCAAAATTCTTATGCCAATCTAAAAATCTGCTTCTGCCCCTTGGTCCTAGTTGTGTCCTCTAGAACTACAAAAAAGAAATGCAATTCCCCTGTCATAAAGTAGAATTTTCTATATTTAAACACAGTTGTTATATTCTCCTTAAATCTTTAATATCTAGGCTAAAAATCTCTAGCTGCTTCAATATAATCTACCAGCCATCTTGTTTGCCCCCTTATGGACCCATCCTGGTTTCTAAATGCCCCTCTTAAAATGGAGCACCAAGAAACCAACATGATAGTCTTACTGGTGAAGAGTCCTGTAGATGGCTATCTCCATTCATTTGGATATTACATTTTTGTTAATAAAGACTAAGATTCTATTAAGATTTTTTGTTTTGTTTTTAGCAGCTGTGACTCACTAGTATCTCATGTCAAGCTTACTGAAGGTTCTAAGCCTTTGAGCTGTTAATGTCTATCTCCTCCATCCATTACTTGTGCATGCAAAGGACTTTACACTTATCCCTATTAAATTTCATCTTAAAAGATTCACTTCTATTATTCTAGCTTGTTGAGATATTTTTGGATCCTATTGTTCCCAAGTCAGCTCTGTGTCCTTGAGAGATCCTGTAAGTCTTCTTCTAAGTCATACAGAAAATTCTAAACATGACCCTCCAAAAAAAGCCCTGTGGCAACCTCAGTAAAGACCTTTCACATTGTGATCTGTTCATTTAAAAATTTTTGATTTTAACAAATATTAAGTGCCTACTATGTTCCAGACATTGTGCTAGGTGCTTTACAGATATTATTTTATTCAATACAACAACCCTAGGAGATAGGTGTTATTATCTCTGTTTAAGAGATAAGGAAACTGAGGCAGACAGATGTTAAGTGACTTGCCCTGGTTATATAGCTAATAAATGTCTAAGGCCAAATTTGAAGTGGACAGCTAGGTGGCACAGGGAATAGAGTGCTGACCCTGCAGTCAGGAAGATTCATCTTCGTGAGCTTAAATCTGGCCTCAGACACTAGCTGTGTGACCCTGGGCAAGTTACTTAGCCCTGTTTGCCTCAGTTTCCTCATCTATAAAATGAGCTGGAAAAGGAAATGACGAACCCCTCCAGTATCTTTTCCAAGAAAACCCCAAATGGGGTCACAAAGAGACAGGACTGGAACAAAAACAAAAATTTGAACTCAGGATTTCCTGCCTCCAAGTCCAGGGCTTTATCTACTGCACCAAGTAGCTGCCCTGTTATCAGGAGTACATGAATATGGTGGCAAATATGGCCTGGGACATTCCTCAGTCTGATTTTGCACATCTAAGAGGCAGATAAGTAGCAAAGATCTCTATACACACACACAAAAAGCAGGGAACTGTCCAATTGTAAATAATTCATTTGCCAGGGTATATCTTACCTTTCTTAGGAAATTTAAAAGACAACTATTAGCAACTCTCAATATGAAAGCTAGAATTATCTTTTTTCTAGATGCTGCTCACTTCTCATAGGATACTCTATGAGTAAATGTTAATGGTGTTTACCTCCTTTAAAAGTCCATTAAAAACAACTGTGACTTAAATAACCTCTTACCTGACAATTAATGCAGACTCCTCCACCTTCATAAACACCATGGATGTTCAAACTTCCATTAAGCCTCTCAACATCAGGATCATAGTAACAGTCCATGGCATGACCATGGCAGTTGCAAGCTAAGGAAAAAACACACTAAATTAATGCTCCACCATTGGAGGCAGGCCCTTAGTAATTTCCTGAAAATAATAGTTATTTCAGTGGCTTCCAATAAAACTTATTCTATGATATCAGGGAACAATGGGAAAGTCTAAGAAATTTCATTCTTAAGCCAATTTAAAACCATGAGAAGAGCATAGTTTTTTTAATTTGATGATAAGGGGAAGTTTTGTTTCCTGCTCCCTTTTTTAAATTAAAGTCTGCAATCAAAGCATAAGCAGGGCTTTTAAAAAGTCTCTTTCAGCACATGATCTCACCTCCAACATTACAAAGAAGGAGGCCATAACAGATAAGCTCCAAGGAGTCGGCTTCTCCACTACTGTAACCCTCCTATTATCCACATCCATCTTATCTTCTTTTCTTTTCTAATGGAAGTTTACTAAGCACTTTACATCATCCCATTTGAGACTAATAACAACCTTGGGAGGTAAGTATTACCGTATTGTAATCCCTATTTTATGGATAGGAAGATTGAGGCTCAGACATTAAATAATTTGTCCAAGACCACAGAATTAGAAAGTGTCAATGTTAGGATTCGAGCTTGGTCTTTCCAGACTCCAATTCCAGAATTCTTTCCACTAGAGTAAGGCCAGGGCAAGGGTGATGGACTGGGAAAACTGGTGGAGTAGAGAGGGATTGGAGGTCAAGGTAAGGAAAAATAAATACAGGCTTAGGATGACTGAAGAAGAGGGAGAGATGAAAGTAGAGAAGGCTATGATCAAAAAGAGGGATTTCAGATTTACAGTTCTTGGAGGTAGGTAGGGCAGTTTTGAGTAATGATGAAAATTAAGGTATGACCAACTCCATGCATGGCCATAGTGGAGTAAAGATGTAGATCACAGGAATTGAGGAGACTGATAAATTGGGAGGCCAAAAGGATACTGAAGTCCTTCAGTATGAGGAAGAAAAGAGAATGACATGGAGGCAAATAGATGACTATGGAAAGATCTGAACAGGGTGACATAGATGGGGAGTGTACTTCAAAGGAGGAAAGAGGTTACCAAGTATTAAGAAGAAGAGTATGCCTACTTCTCCTCCTGGCCCAATGAGTTAAAGGGCATGAAAGAAAGGTTAGCCTGTATTGGAGAAGGGAGACCCAAGAAATAGTATCTTCCAGAGGATACCAGAAGGTGTTTCCATGAATGCCTATCACAGGAAGAGGTCTAGGATGAAGGGAAGTTTGTTCACAACAGCACTGGAGTTCCAAAGGGCACAATGGAGAAGGAAGGTAGATAAGGATAGGGATAAGGAGGATTATGGCTAAGGTGGACTGTGATGGCTGAGGGGGAAGTGGACACAAAGGAAAGGGTTATTTCGCCCTGGCAGGCAACAGCACTGAATTATAGGGATTAGGGGAGGTAGAGATAGAAGTCTGCCAGCCATAGGAAAGGGAGAAAGCTAGATGAAAGACACTCACATCCTCTAGTCCACAGAGGTTCAGGTCCATCAATAAAGATTAAGCACCTGCTATTTGTTTTAATAACATTGGGATACAAAAAACAATATCAAGACGGCTCCTGTTCTTGAGCAACTCACAGTCTAACATGGGAGACAACATTCAAATAATTACAAACAATCAAGCTACATACAGGATAAATTGGAAATCATTGACAGATGGAGGCACCAGAATTAGGAAGGATGGGGAAAGGTTTCCTTGTAGAAGGTGGGATTTTAGCTGGGACTTGAAGGAAGTCAGGGGAGCCAGGAGGTGGAGATGCAAAGGGAAAGCATTCTAGGCTTGGGGAACAATTAGTGAAAA